ATTGATAATATAACCTAAATAATAATAAAACTTTATATATGTTTATTAGGTAAATATAAGGTTTTATTAATTTAATTTCCCTAAAAATATTTCTGTAATGAATTGAAGTTTTCAAAATATCAGTTTCCTAAAATTCAAATTAGTTTAATTTTCTGGTAGACCTTACAGCTGATATCGGACTACCGACGTCATAGAATGCAGTGTTGCCTTTTTTACTTCATGGCTTGGAAGTAAAGGTGGCTGTGCCATGACCTATTTGACGAATGGTAAATTAATCTAACCTATTGTGTATTATAGAACTTCTCGTAACGAAACAGTGTTTGTCACCTGTTATCCGCATTCGAATATCTGCTGACGTGAACGATGATCATGTGTTTGTAAAGATCATATCTAGATTGATAAAATGCGTTAGGCTTTCACGGCCAACGTTTAACTTGTTAGGCTGTTTATTCGGGGTTGTGAGATTAGTTCTCGACGTTTCGCCAACACTAGGGGTTGGCATCTTCTGGAGATGTCACTGCTTCGCTTGTAAACTGAAACTGGTGCCGCGTTGTACTACGGAGGCCATATTTATATTTCTACTCGCCTCCGGCGAAACAAAATTGTATTGGGGAGTTTTTGTAATTACCTAACGTAACGTATCACCCTATACGTAAAGAACTAACGTGTCGAAGAAGATGAAGGTTAAATTGAGAGTTGAAGTTCTGCACGTAACGTAACGATGGTGTTGCCCTCATCGAATTAGTGATAAACTAATAAGTTGTCAGTGCCAGTGTTGTCCTTGTCACTTAACCCTATTTTTGATATTCAAAATAACTAAATATATTTTCAACAATTTTTAATTTTGGAGATGGACGCAATAATAAATGTAGGTGCCTTTATTGGTGATGAAGAAAACGAGGACATAGAAAATGCGCTTCTTCTCCACATCTTGCACGAATATATGGCCGCTTTAATTTATATCATGTCTGCTATACAATGTAAAAATATTTTTCGCTTTTGGATTAAATTCCTTCTTCTTCTTGGCCTCCTGTAACTTCTGCCTCCAACAAAGGCGATCCCGCGCCACTCGTCTCCAAGCCCTGACGTTCAATAAGTTGTGCGCATCTGCTGTGACTTCGTTCTCCCATCTATTACGTGGTCTTTCCTTTGGTCTTCTGCCCTGCATTTTACTATCCAAGGCCTTTCTCGGCAATCTGTCGGCATCCATCCGTATCACATGACCAGCCCATCGAAGCCTTTGTACTCTAGCGAACTCTGCAATAGGTGCTTCTTTGAACAGTTGGTAGAGTTCATGGTTATATCTAGATCTCCACATCCCATTTTGAGTGATGGGTCCAAAGATCTTCCTTAGGATTTTTCTCTCGAAAACCTCTAATCTTCGTTTAGTGCTTTCTGTCAAAACCCATGTCTCGCATCCATAGCATACTATCGGTCTGATGATAGTTTTATAGACCTTAAGTTTCGATTTTCGATGTACCGTCTTGGAGCGGAATATGTTAATCAGGGAAAATAGGCTTTATTTCCCTTCATTATTCTCTTCTGAATTTCGGCCTCTTCTGTTCCCTCCGTATTCATTTCGACTCCCAGATAAGTAAAACTCTTCACTGTTTCAATGTCATCCTCTACTTTGATTTGATTTCTTGTTCGCTTTGTCCGCGTCTGTGTTAGTATTTTTGTCTTCTGTGTATTTATTTCAAGTCCAATCTCCTTGGCCGTTTTTTTCAGCTGCGAATATGTTTCTGCTGCATCATCCACTCTGCGGGACATGAGGCTAATGTCATCCTCATATGCGGCGAGCTGGACAGATTTGTTTGTTAGGAGATTGGCTCTTCCGACATTCAGTTTTCTGATGACATATTCAAGGGCCAGATTGAACAGTGTTGGAGCTAGTCCATCACCTTGTTTCAGCCCTTGAACTATTTCGAAGCTGTCAGTTAATTCGTACTGTATGCGTACAGTTGCTATTGTGGAGTCCATCGTTGCTTTTACTAGTCGGATATATTTCGAGGGAATATTGAAGCTTTCCATGATGTTATATAACCGGCTTCTATTTATGGAGTCATAAGCCTGTTTGAAGTCGACAAATATATTGTGAACATCAATATCGTGTTCCCAAGCTTTATTAAGGATTTGCTTTACTGTAAAAAGCTTATCTATTGTCGACCTGCCTTGTCGAAAACCGGTCTGGTATTCGCCGATAATATTTTCACATAATGGTTGAAGTCGCCTATTCAGGATGGATGTAAAAAATTTGTAGGCCGAACATAGGAGGGTTATGCCGCGGTAATTTTCGCATTTAAGTTTGTCCCCTTTTTTGTAGATTGGGCAGATAATCCCATTTTTCCAATCGCTAGGAATTTTTTCTTCCCTCCATACCTTAGATATGAGCGCGTGCACCTGCGTTGTTAGATGTTCGCCACCTAATTTATACAGTTCGGAAGGGACATCGTCAAATCCCGGCGCTTTGTTGTTTCTTTGCGCCTGTATTGCTTGTTTGACTTCTTTAAGAGTCGGGCTGCTTATTTCTTCGTCTCCTTCCTCGATGTGCCGCAAATCCGAAGATCGTGAGCTTCCTTGTGCTCCTAGCAGAGCTTGGAAATGGCTTTTCCAAACTGATTTTATTTGCGTTGGTTCACTAATTATCTTATCTGTTTGGTTTCTGCACAGAATTGTTCGGGGTTTGTATCCTTCTCTTAGTTGTCGAAGATATTTATATGCCTCCCTTAGATCGTTGCTTTGGAGGTTTTGTTCCATTTTCTGTATCTTATTATTTTCCCATTTTCTTTTTTCTCCTCTACATATTTTATCCGCCCTGCGTCGTAGCTCCTCGAAAAATGTCGGATTAAATTCCACCTTTCTGGATAATCGTAAGAATTCTGGCCTACGACTTCCTTCGACAAAAACAAATCATTTTCAGTGCTGAAGCGAAGTCGTTTTCTACTGCTTTCCATTATTTATAAAAATCAAAACAAAACAAATATACTTAACCACAAATTTGATAAAATGTTAATGTTGATAGTTTGGTAATCGGGTAAGATCTCCTTGCGCATTCGGTTACTTTCGGCTCGATAGGGATGCGTATGAACGTAACGTATCAGCCCATTACGTTAGGTAATACGTATCTAGATACGTTAGTTCAACAATTAATGCGCATGCTTATATGTCAAAAAGATACGTTACGTATACGTATTTGCTTGCACAAAAACTCTCTATTATTGAACAAGGAAAATGCATTTTCCAAAGTGTATTTTTAAGTTGAAGTAGAAAACTTATAAAGTGATTCGGAAATTCTTTTGGTGTCTATTCGTTTCGAATATTGGCGATCATTCTGGCTATAATTACTTTATTAACTGATGCTTTTAAATACATTAATTGTTGTTGTAGAGAACCATTTCCTCAGGTTTTTTAACCATGATATTCTTCTTCTCCCAATCCCTCGCTTCTCCCAATTCTTCTGTATAGCCACATCTCAAAGGCTTCAAGTTTTTTCTCCAATGCTTCAGTGAGTGTCCAGGATTTAAATCCGTAGCTTAATATTGAGAAGATATAACATCGTAGGAGCCTTACTTTTATCTCCAAATTAAGGTTGTAGCTTTTAAATAGTTTGGCCATGTTGTTGTATGCACTCCTAGCTTTCTTTTATCTATATTTGACTTCTTGTGAGTGATCCAATTCTTCGTTTACTATTGTTATAAGATAGGTAAACTGTTTTACTTGGTTCACTGGTGTATTCTTGATAAGCAGTTGGACGTCTTAATTTTATTTTTGCTGATGACCATAAATTTAGTTTTTGATATGTTTACTTATAGTCCAAATCTTTCACTTACTTTGTTAATTAGTTGCTGTAAACTGTTGAAACTGTCTGAAAAAATAACGGTGTCATCTGTATAGCGGATGTTGTTTAGGCATTCTCCATTTAAAAAGATTCCATATTCGCAATTTTCCAAGGCTTCTCTAAATATTTCCTCTGAATATAGGTTGAATAATATAGGCGAAAGTATACATCCTTATCTAACGCATTGCAGAATCTGGATAGCTTCCGTCGGTTCATCTCTAAGATTTGTTCTTATTGTGGTTGATTGGTTCCAGTATAAATTTTGTATTACACGCCGGTCTTTATCATCTGTGTCAAATGCTTTTTGGTAATCCAGAAAGCAGGTGTAGATATCGTGAGTCATATTTCTGCATCTTTGGAATAATACCTGTAGACTAAACAGTGCATCTCTCGTACCTATACTTTTCATGAATCCAAACTGCGTGTCTTGTATTCTCTCTTCGCATGGCTTGTATAATTTTAAGAAAATAATTTAGTGTATAGCTCATTAGACTTATAAGCCTATATTCTCTGCACTGTTTCGCTCCCTGTTTCTTTGGTAACGTAATAAATTCTAAAACTAACCAATCTTTTGGAATATTACCAGTGTCATAGATAAAACTCTAGAAACCGAGACCGTCCTGAGAATCAGGTGTCTCACACATCATCTCCAACATGATATTAGTGTTGAGCGTTCCCAAAACCCACCATTAACAAGTTTGCTCTGATTTTGTATGTCCAAAATACTCCAGACGATACCCGGGTGCGGGTATCATCACTTTGAAATGTATTTTAGAAAATGCATTTTCCTTGCTCAATATTGCAATTTTCATATCGTCACTTTCGTCATTTTTGTTCGCAAAATTTCCTGACACTCATACAAATCGAATGCAATGTTTCATTGAGATCCACCTTCTACAAAAACTTGGTAGGTTTATTGCTTCATTGCCTCGTCTATATCATACCCAATACTGCGAAACGGAATATTTATTCTTATAGAACAACAACTGCCATTATCTATCCAACAATTTCTTAAACAAAAAACTAACACCAAAATAAAAACAGTGAAGATAAAATCACATCAACAATTTGAATATGTTTTTATTAAGAGTAAAATCTTGTATTGAACAAGATTTGCGTTTGTAAAATAGTCGTCCACAGGTTATTCAAAAATTCGTATATTAATGCAAAATAAAAAATTTATTGAACTGCATAACGGATTAAATTAATTATATATGATTAATAAATGCGCATGATTAGGAGAGGAATTTTTTTCATAAAAAAACAAACTGCTTTTTGATTTCAGTTAAGAGATGGTGTAATGTTGTCCCACCAGTTCACTTCAATGTTTGGCCACTTCGTCTGTAGTACGGTAAGCATCGGGTTCGATTCGCACACCGATTTGATATCGGATTCGAGCAGAATGGCAGAACCTATGTGATAGTGGACCTAAAAAACAAAATATTTACTTACAAATACAATAGGCTGAAATAAATAATCAATACATGTTTACATGATACTATGATAAGAAGATAAGATCTTGCGCATAAGTCGTGACGTCATTGGAGAGTTTCAAGTTCGAAATGTCAGTTTTTTGTATGTGTCAATAAATAATTTTTAATAAATAGTTTAGAGATATCCTTATGTGTACGATTATTGTAATTATTGAACCTCTTAACTTATTTTCGTCTAATAATTTCATGACAGAATGCATACAAATCCCATTTAACTTTAACAAGATTTCAAATTCCACTCTCCAATGACGGCATGCGCGAACACGACCGATTTTGTGCTACGGGAAGATCCTATCTTGTTATTCATAGTATCATGCATGTTTATGATGCAAACAAGTATAATATTCAACTACATAGTCGTGAACTTATGACTGTTAATTGTTGAAATATTGATATCAACTAAACAAAATTTGAATATTAGGGCTATATGTCATTAACAGTTAGTTAAGGTTGGTACAATGTAAACTGTCAATTGCATTTACTTTTGGAACAAAATAAAGTCAGTTTTAACTATTTACTCTACTGGTTCGTTTCATTTAAAAGTTTTAACATACAGAGTGGCCCAAAAGTCTGGAAACGTCTAATTATCTCGTAAAATGCTAATCATAATTGTACAAAATTTGAGGTACACCTATTTTGGGATACGGAGATTCCATATTTGATATTTACAATGTTGCCAGATTTGCCGTTTTTCTTATGTTATTAGTAACTTTGGTTTTTCAAATACATCACCCTGTATATTCAGTCATTATTGGAATCTCCTATTAAATACGAGTTCAACATATGTAACACTTATGATTTTATGTAATCTGGAAGGTCATAAATACATAAAACCGAAGCCTGGCAATGCCTAAATTGTTTCAATAAATTTTTTAATACTAACTATTTTGAAATACATTAAAACGTAACAATTGATAGTTTAGAACATTTTTTAACATAGTAGTTACGTTATTAAGTGTTCAAAATGTGCTTAATTTGTGAGTTAACAGCACCCTAATCGATGGTAGAAGGCGTCTACCACATTTCTCCATGATTGTCTAGAAATTATTCGAGAGTCATTGATAATTCGATGCCTTAGCTCTGCGAGACTTGCTGGTTAAGTTTTGTAAACTGAATTTTTCGAGTATCCCTAATAAAAATTATCTTTAGGATTGAAATCGGGTGAACGTGGAGGCCATTCAATTCTACCTTGTCTACCAATTTATCGTCCAGGAAATATCTCATCTAAATATCGCCGAACATTTACACCAACTATCTGACGTTAAATTTCTTTGGACAAAAAAATGACCCAATGGAATAAGTAATTACTATATCTGACCATACATTTAATTTTTGTGGTCTTTGAGTATAGTTTTCACGCATTCAGTCTTCAGTGTGAATTTACGTGACACGAGTACCTTAAATTGTGTCGATTCACACTTCCACACAGTGTAAAAGTTGCTTCATCGGAAAAACATATTCTGTTAACGAAATTTTAATAATTTTCAATTTTATCCATCATTACCTCAGTAAACTCTAATCTACGACTAAAGTCATCTTCACTTAATTCTTGCAATAAGTTAATTTTTGTATGATTTAAATTTATTTTTACGTAATAAACGTAAGACTGAAGAATGACCTACATCATGTACTTGTGCAACCCTGCCTGGGGATGTATGTGGATCTTCAACAAAACTTTGCTTATATCTGAAGTTTTGTTGTCATTGATAACTCGTTTCGGTCAACCTGATCGGTATCTATCTTTTACTTCTCCAGATTCCTCAAATCGCCTTACAGTTTTTTGTACCGTCGTCTTATGAATAGGAGAACGGTTTAGAGAACGGCATTTTAGAGAAGCAATTTAAATTGCAGAACTTTTTGAACCACAACTACCGTAAATTTTAGTTCATAATTTAAATGGTGAACAACTGTCAAAATCACAGCATTCTCCATTTACATATTTAAATTTATTAAAATCTACATATTTTGCACTGTTTTATGTATTTAAGATCTTTCAGACTACATAAAGTCAAGTGAACATATGGTTGAACTCGTATTGAATAGCTGAACTCGTGTGAAATTCACACTGAATGCGTGAAAACCATACTCAAAGACCACAAAAATTAAATGTATAGTCAGATTGGGCCATTTTTTATCGAAATAAATTTAACGTCAGATAGTTGGTGTAAATGTTCGGCATTATTTAGATGAGATATTTCCCGGACGATAAATTGGTAGACAAGGTAGAATTGAATGGCCTCCACGTTCACCCGATCTCAATCCTAAAGATTATTTTAATTAGAGATACTTGAAAAATTCAGTTTACAAAACCTAACCAGCAAGTCTTGCATAGCTAAGGCAATGAATTATCGATGAATCTCGAATAATTTCTAGACAATCATGGAGAAATGTGGTAGACGCATTCTACCATCGATTAGAGTGCCGTCAACTCACAAATGGAGCACATTTTGAACACTTAATAACGTAACTATTATGTTAAAAAATATTCTAAACTATCAATTGTTACGTTTTAATGTATTTGAAAATAGTTAGTATTAAAAAATGTATTGAAACAATTCAGGCGTTGCCAGACTTCTGTTTTATGTATTTAAGACCTTCCAGACTACATAAAATCATAAGTGTTACATATGGTTGATAGGAGATTCCAATAATGACTGAATATACAGGGTGATGCATTTGAAAAACCAAGTTACTAGTAATATAAGAGAAACTGAAAATCTGGCAACATTGCAAATACCAAATACGGAATCTCCGTATCCCAAAATAGGCGTATCTCAAATTTTGTAGAATAATGTCTAGTAATTTACGAAATAATTAGTCGTTTCCAGACTTTTGGGCCACTCTGTATATTTTATAAATTTGCTTTCATAAATGTTTTGAACATAAACCTTTACTTTTAGAAAATCCTTACTGTTGAAAATCTTAGTATTTTCGTTCTTCAAATTATCGGATTTTTGTTTATAACATTTTTTGTAATTTTCATGGTATGGTATACTTACTTGACTATTGACGTTACTCCTGGCGAGTCCGTTGTAATGAACGAGAGTAAACATGTCTGGAGTCGATGATTCTTCCTTGGGAAAGAATTCATCCATGAAAGCGTTTAATAAAATTATACCTAGATTTTCGTTATCTAATTTTTTCTTCATTATATTGACGCTAAAAAATATAATAAACAATTTTATTCAAAAATACAAACAACGCGTTATAACTGGTAAAGTGATAAAAGAAGGAAAACTTCTATACGGAACTGTACAAAAAAAACAACACAACTAATTCTAAACCAAGTTTCTAACATACTTAAAGACATAACACCTTACAATGAAAACAGAAAAGTTGTTTTAAAAACGAAAAACAACAAAACCCAAAGAGTAACCTGACAAACGAGAAGATAATGTATTTAATGCAGTCATGCATTCGAGTTCAAGGTGAATTGAGAATTATAATTCATACTCATAATAATAATATTAAGAATACTATAATTTAACGATGAATATTCATTAAGAGTACCAAAAAGTATATATGCTGAATTATTTACCCTTTAGTTATTTACTACTTACTAAAAATTAAACCCACTTACTATTCAAGTTCGCTTACAAGGTCTAAATTTTGAAGCACCTCCTGCAGTTTGTCAGAACTAATAAAATTATTTCCGTGAGGATCAAAACTTTTAAAAACCCTTCTGGCTTGTTCACTTTTGGTTTCTGGACTTACTAACTTCCTTTCATCACTAAAGAGTACTAAAAAAAGAAATATAATGATTCAATCTGAAAGTAAATGTCTTGAATGAAGTTGAACACAAAAATGTTATTTGTTTCAAATTCGGATCATCACCCATATATTTGCTTATATGCAGTGAAAACACTTTTATTTCTGATTACAATGGTTTAAAGATTTATTTACTATTATTGGATAACCTGCAGAGTTATACAAATTGGAAAATCACATTCATAAATGTGATTTTTCAGTTTTCAAAATGAAATAAAATAGAAGTACAAAACATCCAATTAGCCATTTTCTAATTCTTATAACTGATGTAAGTTAGGCTCACATATTTTGGTTTTTTTCATATAATATAAATGATGACAATGTACAAAGATCCAGAAAATCCACTGTGTGTATCAAATTATGTGATACATTATGTCCTGAACATGGAAATAATTGAAGTAAAAGTTTCCTTCACACAAAGATAAAAATAAGAAAGTCTTTACTCACTATCAGTTTACTATACTATACAACCAGTTTACAATTGTTCTTTACCTTTATCTTTCTCTAAAGTTGATACACATGTAAAAATGGTTCATTATTTTTCCTTCAGTTTGTTGTTCAAACTATTTAAAAAATTACTACTTGGCTCATCCAAATTCACTAAAGACCACTATTTTCTCGCTGTTAAGAATAAATCTGTTCTCATTCAGGAACTTGTTTATTATTTATTTAGTTAATACTAGTTGTTTAGTGGTAACACTACAATCACTTCTATTTTTTGTTTGAACAGTAACATCAACAATTACAAGACAGATGTTAATGAAATATCTGTAAAACTTCACTATCATACAAAAACAAATTTTTAATATTGAAAATATTTTTCAAATATAAGACAAAACTATTAGAGCACACGCACATAAATAGTTTATATGATATTAAATAATTATTACCTGTTAAATGTGTATCTGAAGCAACTACCCAAACAGGATGGATTGGATTTTTATAAAATGATCCAACTGTACAATACCTATGATATTCCATTACAGTTATAAAACCTATTTGACTTTGTCTTTCTATTCCTAATAGTTCTAAAATATAAATGTAAATAATAACTAAAGTCTTGTGTTATTTTATTTAAAAACTTACTCAAACCTCCAACATCTTCATGGTGATCCCAAACGTAAGTAGTTGCCCTACCAGTTATCATTAAATTTATAAGGCTTTGGCTACCATAGCCATATGTCTCATCTATCAAAGGATCCTGAGAATCTGACTCAGACTTTACCATCTCTAAACCCTAGAATTACATTTAGGTATCTATGTTGTAATCGATATAATTTAGGCTGACAAAGAAAAAATGTTAATATATATAATAAATGAATTTAAAATATGTTAAAATTGAAGACAAAGTGACACCTTGAGCTTCTTCTAGATAGCGTCACCCTCTACCGCGTGGAAATCCATACATGGATTCGCTAGTTTACTATTTTTTCTTATAAGTTTAAAGTTCAGCACATACGCAAGCATAGCATAATGTGAACCGTACATTTGTTTAGAAACCTCTATATATTTTTAAAATCTGGCAACTCTGCTAGACAAGTCAACCCAATCATTTTAGTTACAACATGCTGTGCATTGCGATTTTTTAGAACAAGTGAAAAATTGATCTTCAAACATCAGTGTTTTACAAGTAATCAATTTTTTTATTATTTCATGTCTAATTGGTGTTTAGTCTATATAAGTTAGATAATATTTAGTGATTATTTACATGGGTTTGTCAGAGAAAACGACATTTAGTGATCATCCATATATGACTTCTTATGCATTATCGTAAAAAAATATACAGATTTTGTCCATATGGCTTTGTATGCATTTTATGTAGGTATTATTTGTTTTCAGAAATGGATCCCCAAATGTTTTATCGCAGTTCTATATGTAAACGCTATTCCCAGTGATAGAGGGTTAAGCGACGATTATTATACTGATTCAGACGAAGAATATTTACGTTCTTCATTTACAAAACAACATCTTCAGTCCATAGTACTATCTGAACCTGATTATTCTGACATAGAGACATCTGATGCCGAATCAGAAGTTGACGATGTAAGGACTCAAACCAGCAGACAAAAAATAAATCAATATCTACATCTAAAAACAAGAAAGAGCAAATATTATGGAAGGAATAAAAATTGAAGAGTTATTATGAAAATGATTATGCTTTCCTGAGAGAATCTGAATGGCCAGAATGCATGCAGAGATTGGAGAGTCTTATAGACTTTTTAAATTCTTATTTAATGATATTTAATGACGACTTATTGGAGTTAATAGTTAATGAGTCAAATTTAAAATCAGTGCAAGATAACGTCAACAAACCCAGCAACATTACAAAGTATGAAATTGAACACTTTATTGTAATCAGCGTATTTATGGCAATTTTAAAATTACTTTCTACTAGACTCTACTGGAACTTCCATTAGGAGTTAAAAAGTTAGGAGTAAAAAAACATGGTCGAGGTACTATGGTAGAGAAAACTGCTGTTATAGAAGGAGTAGAAATCTCTCGTGTTTGTTGGTACTACAACAAACTAGTTATTATGCTCTCAACATATGTAGGTAATTCTCCTATTACTTCCAGAGAGGGCTATTTTCGAGAAGCCAAAGAACATTGTGAAATTCCTTGTCCTAAATCAATAGATGTTTATAACAAGCATATGGGAGAAGTTGATCTATTGGATTCCATGCTAGGGCTCTAAAAGATTCAGTTACGTTCAAAATAATGGTACAAGAAAATATTTTTTCACCTGTTGGACATGTACATTGCAAATGCATGGATCCTGTGGTGCCAAAAAGTGTTAATTATTATGCCATTATTTAACAATATATTGCAGAAAATTTATGCCAGGTGGGCACGAATAGTTTGACAAAGAAAAGGGGTCGACCATTATCAAATGTTAATTCACCAAGCATTTCCATAACTGAAACAGAAACTCCCAAATCCAAAAAGTGGCTTACTTTGCATCAAGATTGTCCAAGCAATGAAGTTCATATAGACTCATTGGCCACTTTCCTCAGTGGAACGATACAAGATTGTTGTGCTATAATGACTAAATTTATATCTTTTGTTAGATGTACTAAATGTACCGTATTTTTATGTTTAAACAAAGATAGAAATTGTTTCGTAGAATTTCAGTCCTAAAAACAATACCTAGTTTAAGTGCATAAGAAGCCATATTTAGACCTGTCTATTTTTGTACATTTTAGGCTTATTGTATAGGAAGCCATATATGGCTTATTTTATTATTTTCTTAATTAGTAGAAAATTGTTGTTAATACTTTGGTAAATATACTTCTTTATAACAACAAAATCTTAAATTTTGCAAAAAAGTTTTTTTTTCTATCTAAAACATAATTCAAGCAGTAGAGGGTTAAGAATGAGATTAAGTATAAAATCTCACTAGAAGAAGAATTATACATATATAGGAAATAGAATTCATAATGTCAAAATCTGGAGAGAATTTGGTTCATTACTTTGGAAATTCTATGGCTTTAGAACAATAAAAAGTTGTATATGAAAAAATATTAAAAAAATTGCATTGTTATGAATGAATTTAATATGATTAAAATTGGTGATACCTAATTATCATTGTTACACATACCTTTGAAGCTATTACAGAATATATAAACAACAAAATGCCGTACTGTGCTCTTAATTTTGTGATATTCTCACAATAATAGTTTTTAACTTCATCTAGGCACTGATAACTATGTACTTTGAGGCCATCATGAAACCTAGTAGGATCTATTTCTAAATTTTCTACAGCTTTACTTGACTCTGCTTCACATTTTAGTTCTGCTTGGTTGACTGCTGTACTAAATTCACTGTTTAAATATACTACATAATACTTCCGGATATTACATTGTCCCAATATTTCACAGAGAGCTGATACTAGACAGTGATTCTGGAGCTCTAAATTAACCTAAAAAAAGTAAAAAATATATACATATATAACTACACTATATATTGTATACAAGATTTTATTTTCAATATAAATAAAATACCTTTTCTCGAAATGAAAGATCTTTGTAGTCTAATAAAAGGTTTTTGAGTATAAATGCCTGAACAGGAGCTATTATTGCACAAGGCCCTCCCTCTGTTTGTTCTAAAGCACTTTGTTCATTCTTGCTAAAGTAAAAGCCTACAAATATTAAATGTCATATAAAACAAAAAGAAATAAACTTGACTAAAGCATTAAATAACAATATTTCTATCAATTACCTTGTGACCACCTTTTAAAAATGTCTAGTTTAATTTCGTTGCCCCAGAGAAGATTTTTAATACCTAACAATTCCTGTTCAATGGCAGAGGGTAGAGTATCTGCCATTGTTAAATTAATTATTTAAATATACAATTTTTACAATAAATATTTAGATTACATTTAAGGTTATAACAAAATTGACATTTCGTAATTTACGTAGTAGTGCCAATTTCGAACTGAAAAACTCTTTCTATAGCCAACATAAGAACATAAAAATAAGTTGTGTGAGAGGGAAATATAAAAGAAATTTTCCTCCGAGGCATAAAACCCTTTTTGGTAAAATTATATCGTTTATATTAAATGGGTGACATTGCAATAAAAAATTAGGTGAAATATTTTTTAAACCTTTAGATTCCGCTCGAGTATTTTTAGCATTGGTACCTAAGTGGTCCAAAAATAAATTGAGTGTTACCTAAATTCCGTTTATAAAAAGATTGTTTCAGTATTAACCGCTTGAAAATATTCTTATGGATATTCGGATAGTTTACAATTAAACAAATATGTATTTGTGATTTATAGTTAATTTAATATCAAAGTTTTTACATCTCTTATCTATAATCCCTGTGGTCCACAAAAGTTTGTTAAATATTTTTATAATTACCACATATCGGAGAATATGGAAGAAATAGAATATATACGTTCAAATAAAGGCGGACAAAAAATTATACATAGGGGTTATATGTATACTGTACACAAAAACAAAAAGTGTGGTGGTATTAGATGGAGATGTGCACAAAGAAGTCTTAATTGCAAGGTACCTAAAAATAAAATAAATTGCTTGATTAAAAAATTGTTAAATAAACGTCTGCAGCTTCGATAAAGAATGAATTATTATTACTTACTTATATAGCCTTATATTTTTCTAAAAATAAGTAATTTTTTATTTAATAAAAGTGTTTGGAGAAGCATAAAAGTTCAAATTTTAATTCATATCCCATGACAGACGAGATTTAAGAAATTATTTAACAGTATTTACAAATCTAGTAACATTTTTTTGCAGGGTAGCATATCAACCACCTCTTCAGGAATTCCTTATTTAAATATACCCCATAATCACGTTTCTAATTCGCAATCTTTAGTCATAGCCAGAAATAAAATTTTTGATCCTGAACCTGTGGATTTGCATAATTTTTTGAACTTGGTAATTGACGAGCAAAGGGAAGAGAGGCAAATACACCTTTCAGGTTTGTATTAAATGACCATAGTGCGATTTGTCAAGTCTTTACTAATTTTAATACTTACTATGTCTGCAATTATTATAATAATACTACCTGTATGGGAGAAGAGGGAGACTTGGTCATATGAGAGACTTGATCACTCTTTAAAATTTTAGTAAACAGTCTAAAATTATAAAACTAGCAACATAGCGTAGCTGTTAGTTTGGTATTAGGTCCCATGTAATTTAATTCTTGTTAGAATACACAACGTAGAGCACGTGTTCATTACAATTGTTTTGTTTTGCATAGTTTGCAATGAGTTCTAGTTTGTTGTCATGGTTTTATAAACTAAAATATGAAAATGGCCTGTTGGGGGAGACTTAAACTTGGCCTGTTGAGAAAAGATTCTAGATCATTTGTAAAAAAAGTTATCTGAAAAAATGTAACGGTGGGATCAAGTTTCCCTCTTCTCTCCTATGCTTCATTGTTGGTATATTTTTCGGACGATTAGGATAATTTGTAACTTGTGTTATGTTATAACTGAAAAATAAATGTAATACTTTTCTGACATCATCATCAGGGGTGTTACCACCGCATTTTTCAAGTTTCCTGTCCTATACTATTGTGGTATTTAACTAGAATTTTCTAGTTAAAAGCACCGATCTTCTTAACATTTTGCATCCATTCACTGTCTAGCCAACTGAACCCCAAGGGTTCTCAAGGTGGTATTTCATTTATTTATATTTGATTCTAGTAACATATCCTGTTCATTGTAGAGTAAGTTTTATGACATATGGAACACAAAGAAACAAATTCTTGTATATATTTTAATTAACAGGTTCATTGCGTAAGGCGCGGATCTCCCTTGATGAATTAGTAGTTTTTGGCGTGATCATCTCTGTTTTAGAATGTATATTAAAAGTAAGCGCCATAAATTTGGTAAAAAATATATGTACGTACTGAACCTAACGGATTAGTTCAAACTATGAAAGTTTATGCTGGTAAATTTGATACTACCGCCGAAACAGACCATTCCAAAAAAAGTTGACCTGGAATTGATGCATAAACATCTAAATGCAGGTCATTCGATGGATGGGAAACGTTTACATGAGTATGGACCTTGCCGAAATACTTATGAAGAACAAAACATATTGTACAGAAACTCTTCTGGAAAGAAGACAAGGAAATTCAGTAGAAGTGACTAAAGACAAGTTAAAAAAAGGTGAGTCAGTAGCAAAATATAAATACGGCAAATGGGTCGATAAACGCGAAGTAATGTATATATCCACTGAGTTCAGCAATGTTATGGTAGAATGTGAGAACAAGCGAAAACAAAAAAACTAAAAACCTCTTCCAATCTCCTAATATAACGTGTTGATCGCAAAGATCAAATTTTATACTATCCTTTCGAATGAAAAACCCTTCGCTGGTACAGAAAATTGGGTATACATATACTACAAGTGATTTTAGTAACGCTTATTTTCTATTTAACAAATTTTCTGGAACAAAACTGTCTCTTTATGACTTTCGACTAGAAATTATTAGAGAAATTTACTACGCTCTCCTCAGAAAAATGTTCCTAAAACATTGAATAACTTGTCTGAACGGCATATTTTGAGCAAAATAGCTGAGAAAAATACAAAAGTAGAAACGAAACGTAAAAAGTGCAGGGTGTGTACAGTGAATAAGAAAAGACACGATTTAGGAATGTCTTTGTCTAGGCGCATGCTTCGTAACATACCATGAAGGCCGAAAATTACTCTAGTTGGTGTATTTTTTGTACTATTTGTTACCTATAATGTTTAAGTTGGTCTTATTATATTATTTTTAGTGTACGTTTTGTTACTTTTCAAATAAAACATAATTTTTTGTAGCGTTTTATTTCAAAAATGGATCCGCGTCCGTTAGCATTTGGTGTGAAAATTTAAAGTGTGGTTTAATGACGCGGATTCGTGTCCTTTTGACATTTGCTCCCAAATGTGGCAAATAATGTCTAAAACATCATATAAAATACCAACAACCAACTCTTATCATTGTTGAAACAAAAATTCCTAGCACCTGGCATATTAATATTAGATTACGTACGCAGTGAACGTGTTAAATAAAAACGAAAAGAAAATACCTTTTTAACATGTTCACAGTATTGTACAACAGTATTAAATGTGATGTTTTGATTCGATTTTGATAATCTATCCTGCCATTTCCATGTCCTGATAGACAACATGTTTTATACTTAATAAATGATAACAACGTCCAAATGGTAATGATAGTTTAATAAATAAACAAAATAATTATTAATAATTTGATACCTAATTGGAAATATTAAGATGATTTCTTTGTTTTAAATGTATTTTATGACATTTTGTTTAAATACGAACATATATTTTGATATCGTCCCTTGTATCGGTTGGAAGCACGAAATCAAATATTAATATATAATAAAATTTAAGAAAAACTTCTGTTTGTTATTCTTTGATAAGAATACAATAGCCTAACTTATCGACTTTCTCTTCCTCCATATTTAGATCCAACATTTTGAGTAGCGCTGATATTTTCTGTCAAATTTTCCGTCTCAAATCTACATCGTTCCAATACGATTCCCGCAAAACCAGTTTAGTACAGTGGTCCAATTCGTTATTTAATAAATAATGTACAGACAATATTCACTTCTTGAGATGATCAACTATTAGTTATGATTTCTGAACTTGTTTGTTGTAAGCCAAAACAAAAGTGGTCTTCTTTGAACGAGTTCCCCTACTTGCATTTCCGAGGCCGACGGGAAAATCGGTAAACTGTAAACTGTTGTGACAATTGTTTTTAGCTAAAGTTGTAAATAAACTTACACTGATTATGTAGACACTATCTACTAGAGTCTATTGGAGGCGATGTATCAATTATAGATTTAATTTAGACACTGATTTAATTTAATATTAAGTGTTGTGCACAATCCAGCTGTGGTAAGGTTATCTCCAATGTCTATTACCCTAAATTCGTGTTTTTTGCCTGTTTATGTTACCGGTTGTATGGGTCAGTAATATGTATATACTCTTACGAAGTTTGCCGGTTAACTAGACCACGTTTTCGTGTGTAGTTATTTTTATTGATTAATAGAAAAATGATTACATCAATTGCTCTTTTATGATTGTTTTAGAACCTCCGTGCTTCATTAACGACTAGAATCGGGACTAGCCTAGCACGTATAATACATTATTATTCTCTGTTATTTTCCTATATATATCATATATTTCTATGTTATACTAATTATTGAGTTTAACAAATGTTATTTTCGTGTTTATCATTAGAAACTGTCAGTGTTTATGTGGTAGTGCTAAGTGTTTTATCAAAATGGCCGAAGTACTAAAGAAACAGAGAAAAAGTAATTTTTCGCAGGACGAAGTGGAAGTTTTAGTCCAAACAGTGGGCTACTATTATGAAACTTTATACGGGGAATTCTCCAAAAAGGCGATCAACAAAAGTGCACGGCACAAGGCTTGGTTAGAAGTAACAAAAGAGGTCAATTCTGTTAGTCTTGAGAAAAGAACATTGCAAGAAGTTAAAAACAAATGGAAAAAGTGCCAACACTTGTATCGGCCAGACGATTTTTTAAGCATTGATTACTATACAGATGAAGGTATGTCTTGACATAGGCCCTGGTGCTAGGATTAATTTCTCCCTTTTTTTGTCTATAGCACTGGACGTCTCGCATGTTTGGGAACCGCTGACTGAACTCGAGGATGAAGGTTTGTTCACTGAAGTATTGCCATTTCTTGAGGCGCTAAATTTAAATCATATTCAGGCAAAAAGCACTAGTTTTTAGGTTAATGGTTAAAAAAATCATTTTTATGAGTTCTAACTTTTTTTTGAAATGTTTATAACCACAATTCTCTAAAAAAATGTAACATTGAAGCTTTCGATAGCTATTTAAGCTTATATTATTTTTTTATACTAAGTTGTAAGAGGTTTTAATTATTACAGTTGATACCTCAGTAAACTACAGGGATGCAAACAACTCCACAAGTAACTTTTACTTTCTAATGCACTTGATAATATTAATAAAATATAATGTTAATATGTGTAATAAAGACACAATTTTTGAAACTTCATCTAATATGTGGTTACCTTTCTACATGTGTTCAACTGCAAATATATTCGTATTTTTACACAGCATTACCGTTCTCTACGCCTAAATAAAGTTTCTAAAGCTATGGTTTATTTCCACTATCTTTGTTCTTCTTCTTATAATAGCAAATGGTACATAGTCTGATCTCCAAATTTAGATTTTTGCACGTTAGGAGTGGCTTCATTCGTATAAATGCTGATCTGGCAATCTCTATTTGCCTGTCTTTTTCTGCAGTATGATCATTGGTTTCATTGATAAAAGTTTCCAAGTACTGATATTTTTCTACTTGTTCTATCACATTACCATTGATTGTCAATAGGTGATGTATATTTTGTGGTCTTTTTGTAATTAGCAATTACTTCGGTTTTTTAGCGTTTATAGTAATTCCCATCTCAGCACTATTCATATTTAAGCTTTCGATAAGATGTTGTAGATCTTCTATATTCATTGCTATGATCACAGTATCGTCTGCATATCGTAAGTTGTTAATTAATTTTCCGTTAACGGTAACTCCTGCTTTGATATTATTAACCGTGTTTTGGAAAATTTCTTCAGAATATGTATATAAGTTAAACAAGTGGCGATAAAAACACATCCCTGTATAACTCCTCTACAGATCTTCATTTCTTCTGAGAGTTGCCCATCAATTTGAACTATGGCACTTTGGTTCCAATATAATGTTTGCACTATATTTATGATTTTACTGTTAATGCGCTTGTTCATAAGTATTGATATTAGTTTTTCATGTCTTATTTTATCGAAAGCTTTTTCATAGTCAACAAAACACAAGTGTAGATCAAAGTTTACATCCCAACATCGCTGAATCAATATGTTGATGGCAAATAGTCCTTCTTGAGTACCCATTCCATTTCAGAACCTGAACTGTGCCTCGCTAATATCCTCCTCTAGCCTTTCGTATATTCTCTTATGTATTACTTTCAGCATTACTTTTAAAGTATGACTCATGAGTCTCAGTGTTCGATAATCAGAGCACTCTTTTGCTGCTTGTTTTTTAGGGATGGTTATAAATGCTGACTTCAGCCAGTCTTGTAGTATTATTCCTGTATCATCATCATCATCATCATACAGCCAAATTTGTCCACTGTCGAACATAGGCCTCCTCAAGATGTCTCCACTCTTCTCTGTCCTGTGCAGCTGCGATCCAGTTTGTCACTATTCTTTTAATGTCGTCCGTCCATCTGGTAGGTGGTCTTCCACGATTTCGCTTGTCTGCCCTTGGCCCCCATTCTAAAATCTTCTTTGTCCATCTGTTGTCTCTCTGTCTTGCGACGTGTCCTGACAATTTCCACTTCAATTTCGTAATCCGTTTTATGACGTCTTCCACTCCAGTTCTTCGCCGTATCTCATCATTTCTTATTCAGTCTCTCAAAGTTACGCCAAGCATAGATCTTTCCATTTTTCGTTGTGCTACTTGTAACTTTTTTATTGATGCTTTAGTCAATGTCAGTGTTTCAGCTCCATAAGTGACCACCGGAAGTACGCACTGGTTAAATGCTTTTCTCTTTAGCTTTATTGGGATGTTTTCCTTAAACACGTCTTTTAGCTTGCCATAGGCTGCCCATCCTAAAGCTATTCTTCTAGATAATTCGCATGTTTGGTTGTCTCTACTTATTTGTATTTCGTGGCCCAGATATATGTATTTGTCAACCGTTTCAATATGCCAGTTTTCTAGTTTCAATGGTCCACTAGGTACTAAGTTGGTCATCATTTTAGTTTTCGCAAAGTTTATTTCCAGCCCTACTTTTTGGGAGACTCGTTGTAAATCGACACTTAAACCTCTGTTTTCCCATTCTAACATCTGGAATGCATGCTGCATTACGGCATTGAATAGTTTTGGTGACATGTTGTCTCCTTGTCTAACTCCCCTTTTTAGTTTTATTTTTTGAGTAGGGGTGTGGAGGTTTATTGCTGTTGTGGCATTTGCATATATATGTTGAATAATGCTGGTATGGCATTCCTGTATCATACACTATATTAAATAAATCTGCCACTACTTCCAAGTTATCCTTTTCCCCTAGTTTTAACAGTTCTACTGGTATTTCATCTAGTCCAGCTGCCTTATTGTCTTTAGAGTTTTTGATAGCATATTTAATTTCAGTTATAGTGATCTTCTGTCTCTCTAAACAATTTAAGTATTCTATTTTCTGCATTTCACCTTTTTCATCTTTGAAAAGTTCTCTAACTTACTCCTCCCATCATCTTAATTTCTCTGGTAAATTTTCCTCTAGTAAACTATCTTTGTTGAGATTCTGTAACTTACCAGTACTTTGAACTTCCTGATGAGCAACAGAAAAATAAAATCCTTTAAGTAAATTAGTTTGTAATAAAATTTAAAAATATTCTAACTAGCTGTAATTTGTTTAACTTTTTGGGCATTTAACCCAATTAAGACTATTTATCTATTGTCCTCTAGAATTATCGTCATAGGTGATAACAAATTCTTACTAAATATGTCACCTACAATGATCTATTTTATTTTCTTATTCCTAGAGTTGCTACAAACACACACTGCTTGATTTCCTACAAAAATACTCTTTAAGAGTTGTATCAGTTTTTTTAGGAGCCAGCTCTACATAATTGAAATAAAGGGTAAACATTTATTTACCCATTTAACAATTTTATATTATTGGTCAAATTTGGGACTAGATTTTGTCCTTAGCAGCATTGAAGATTTTTCTTTTTTATGGGAATGTTTTTATGACTTCTCAACAAGTGTATATAAGTCAAAAAAAGTCAGATTTGACTGGATTAAAATTTACTTTGGTGTACTGTTGCATGTATTTTATACCAATGTTATTCATTTTTGTGTTTGTGGGGTTAAACATTTCATGTAACTTTATAATTACACTGGAGATAACCAACTTTGAAATCTATTCATTTTCGCAGCAAGATGAGGTTAAAAAAATCCAAAATTCGCCATGTCAAGCAGCAAATGCTAGATAAACTAAAATTAACTAAACCCGCAGTTTATGATCCTGAGTTTAAAAAAACTGTTGTTTCATTTGCTGAAAAGAAAGGAAATAAGGAAGCTAGAAGGCTGTATGGAGTGCCTGAATATAATATTAGGAGATGGCGGGGAAAGACTAGACATTATGGGCAGCCACCTGAAATACCTGAAATTGTTCCTAAAATAGAACCTAAGCAGGAAGTTGATACATTAGGTATATACATTTTGTGGTAAAAATTATTTTTTACAACACATCAAGTAATTATTTGTTAGCTATTTTTACTCTGTTATAGAATATATACAAATACAAAGTATTCCTGGACATTTCCTGTAGTCATTAGTGATAATTCTCATTAAATGTCAGGGGCTTAGGGTATTATGAATTTAACTACATTTTTGTATTTTGGTTATTTTTATGTACAAACATATCAAATTTCAACCTATTTAAGAGTTACATGAACATATGTCCACCTTGCTTTAGTTTTAACTTGTAAATGCGTTTTCTGTCCCCCTTCCTATGAGGTGTGGATAAGAGTAGTAAACTTTTTTTGCATATTTTTGGGGTCCCAAAATCGACATTCTCAGCTTATTCGTATGATTTTTAGAGATCAATTCTGACGATTGGACTATACAATAGACTCCCGTAAGTTCAGCCACCTCTGGACTGGACCAAAGGCCGAATTTAAAAGTGGCTGAACTAACTGATGCTTATCTAAAAAATGCCCATTTATTGTTTATGGATCTAGCAAAAACAAAATACTTGTAAATTAAATAGAAGGCAGTTGTTCCTTTTTGCTGGCTCAGCGTGGCTCATTTTCTTTTCTTCATTCTCCATTTCATTCTCAGCATCCTCCATTTCATTCTCAGCAGCATCTGTGTCGTTAACCTTCTTATTTTCTTGGCGAATGACACACTCGGCGATTTCATCGTCATTCAAAACCTCACTGTGTAGCTCCTTTTCAAAGTTGATCCTCTCCAAAATATCTTCAACAATGGGACCACAGTTCGGTAGTTGCTGAAGGTCATGCAATAGAGCTGCATTGTCATGTCAACCATTACTGACGTTAAATCCTGTCGCAGATATTTCTTGTGGAGTAGCAAAGTCCAAAATTTAACTCAATTTCGTCGATGTTGCAGATTTGTTCTGGACTCAAGTTTTGGACACTAATGATTTCCAGCCAACCCTCTCCAGTACTTCTTTATTTGTAATTCTATCAGTCCATGATATTTTCAATACTCTGCGGTATAACCAGAGTTCGAAGGCCTCGATTCTTTTTAAATTACATTTTTTTAATGTCCAAGTCTCAGCTCCATATAATAAATTGAAAATATGTAACAGCGAATGGTATGTAGTCTGATCAACAAATTTATATTTTTGCACGTTAGGAGTGGCTTCATTCGTATAAATGCTGATCTGGCAATCTCTATTCACCTGTTTATTTCTACAGTATGGTTGGCAGTCGCCAAGTGTATGACTAATGCTCAGAGAGCCGGCCGGATTAAGCGGAGACCGAACTAACTGAAGCTGAACTTACGGGAGTCTACTGTATGGGGTTTTATCAAGAACGACATTAAAAATAAAATGTTTCTATTCTTGGGCCACCCTATATATAGACATACTGTATATTTGTAATAATACGTTATTTTTTGAGCAACAATGAACATTATATTTTAATACTAACCAGTAATTTTGTATATTCTCTTTTAAGAGTATCATTAATAATTGAATATTGAAGTCATTAGTTTTAAATAACGACCTTGATTTGAACACTGGTCTGTTTTATGGGATATAAGAGTATTTTTATATCATTACAATGTACCCTAACCCTTTTATTTTATGTAACTGGTCGCTTGGCGTATTTTGTATGCCACTCAAATAAGAATGTCTTTATAATCAGTATGGATTTTTCCTTTAAAAGTAGTATGGAATCCTTAGTATTTCAAAATATTGATTTATTGACAAAAATATAATAAGATGTCACAACATAATACAATTATTATTATTATTTATAAAAAAAAAATTTAAAAAATATGTACTTATCACAAACATATTAACTCTATACTCCAAAATCCTTTTCACATGAACTAAAATAAATAATTAAACATAAATATTGATACTATACTAAACACAATTTACTGACTACCTTCCTCCTTACAACAAATATGTGTCGTCATACACGTTCCTTATATGGGAGGCAGAGGTAAACATCTTTATGCCATACTTTGAAGTTTATTCCGAATATACTGAATAAAACTGCAGCGGTCACGGAAAGGAACCAGTGTCTCGCCAATTGTCGCAAAATTTGCCCAATAGGGGCCAGTTTGTCCTCTGACTTTCTTTGTGAACGGTCATCTCAATGATTTAAGGATAAACAAAAATCTTCTATAGCCCATGTTGGCTTGAAAATGGTTATTCCAATGTCGTCGGCGGCCTATATTTCTTCAAAAGTTGTATGACTAGGTTTTTATAGTCCTGCAAGATACAGCATTCCAAAATGCTAACTCTTCTTTGCTTGTTTCTTTTGATTCCCTCTCCCTTGTATAATTTTCTTGGGTACTTCGGTTGAAAGCATTTGTATAATTTAGAATTTCCTCTATCATCTCTTGCATAAAAAATGTGCTGAGTTCATCAGGTACTTTCTCTTTTTTTATAAGGCTCTGGGAAAAATGTTTACAATATTTTTAGCAGGAGTTTTAGCAAATTTGCTTCTTACATACACATACCACATCATTTTTTTGTCACAGCTAGCTAGAAGTGGGCTCTCCTCTTTTGTGCCTTAAGCAGTCATCTCCTTCGTGTTCTGAATCTGAATTGTGATCACTGTTTTCGGAAAATTCGTCAGTTGCATCAACTCCCTGCTTCAACGCTAAATGGTAGTTGACTAACGTGATTACCACTTTTCTTGTGCATAGAAGACACTATGGTGGGAAGTTACATAGGCGGTCACCGTCGGTCATTTGCCTGTGTAAAAATGTCACACATTTGAATTCGTTTGACGTGTATTTTATGCCACAGCGATCAGTTAAGGTTTAAAAGCCATACCTAGAAGTTTATGCATTTGGCATTTTGCCTGAATAGTTACTAAATGCAACTATGTCTTACCAGGGCAACAATTAATGGAACTTTTTCATACGTGAACTGGTATCACAAGGTTGATCATCAAGCTAATCAAGAAAAATAAAGTATCAATTCCTTGTTACAACTACTCTCTGTAGTACTAGTTATTAAATTTAGGTAAATTTCAGATTCTATGCCCCTCCAGCAACGTCTTAAAAATCCTGCGTCTTCAACTCCACCACCTGAATCACCTGAGCAAGTATTACAAAGCCAACCGCTCTCCCCTACCAAATTAAAAGTAACAAGACATGTCAAACCCTCCGCTCCATCACCTGTTCAACTTCCACCGCCGCCACCAACTCCACCAATTGAGGAAGTTTGTCTTAGATGGAATAGCCATCACTCTAATATGCAGACCACTTTTCCCACTTTGCTGCTTAGAGAACAATATGTGGATGCCACCCTAGTAGCTGAAGGACAAACTCTGAAATGTCACAGGGTAAGACGGTTTTTTCAATTGGAATTAGTTTTAATATTGCTTTATCATTATATTATTTTTATTATTATTATTATTAATGTAATGTTAATTTACGGACTTCCATTTTTTTACAAATCAATTTAAATTTAGCTTAAACTATGAAAGCACAATGTGATTATTCTTAATAGTACTTAGTGAGAAATGAAAAAAATCATTACTATTAAATTTGTTTGCAATTCTACACATTCTCTGTAAGGGTCTCTGGAGGATTTGTCACTTAGTTTAGAGACACAAGTGGGTCCTAATTTTCTTTCATCTCTTTCGCTGTTATGCCGAAATACATTTGTCTCTACTGCACTCAATATAAACCTTCCATTCACTTTGATCTGATTTCTTTCTTTGTCTTCCTTCATCCATATTTCCATAATCTGGAACTCCCAGTCTTATCATTATCATCTGGATTGGATATGTGCTCATTTTGATTTCCAGGCATTGTCAACTGAAGGTTTGTAGTTTCGTCAGTGTTTTCTTCTGCATTTTCAATTAGCATTTGTTCAATTGAAGTTTGATTAAAAACTCCTGAGCCTTTTATATTTTCTCTATTTTTTTTTTTACTTCATTTTCTGTCAGGAGTTGAAGAATCCTGGCAACTCTGGCCATAGGATACCTGTATTAAAAAAATTCCGTTCAGAATATGCCACACATTAATGAATTTGGTTGAAATCGGTTTTAAATTGAGTTTTTCATAGATACATTGATGTATTGATTGAATAAGTTGTACTTAAATGTTTTCAGTAGTATTATTATTAGATAAATCCCAATGAAATTATTCAGGTGGTTTAGTTTTAAAGATTCACTAGGCGGAATCACCGGAATTTTGTTCGCGTGGACTCAACATGTAACTATTGAGATAGGAGTGGTTATGTCAACTGTTTTTACTTGCAATGAGATAAAAGGTATTGTTTAAGACGAAATATTCACTGTTAATACTTTTATCGACTTAGCAGATATTGCTGGAACATTCGCAATGAAATTTTAGAGAGAATGCAACAAATAACTCATTTGTAAAGATAGGAGATATTGTAAAAGAAGAACTTTAGAGATTAAAATCTACTTCGGATGAACAAAAAGTTAAAAAACAATTTAAAATATATTTAATAGGTACGATAAAATTATTCATATTTTTTTTAGGTAATTCTCTCATCATGTAGTCCCTATTTTGAAGAAGTTCTTGCGAGTATAAGTCCATATCAACATCCAGTACTTTTTATGAAAGATGTTCCGTTTTGGACGTTAAAATGCATTTGTGACTTTATGTATTCAGGAGAAATTCACATTATTCAGACCAAACTAGATGAACTCTTAGCCATTGCAGAGACATTAAAGGTTGTAAAACATGGTTATATGAACACTGAAATTATTAGTGATATGATTTTATTTTACTTGTTTAGATAAAGGGATTAGCTGGCCAAAAAGATGCCCAAACCGTTGACACCAAACCGGATTTGACAATTCCTATCAAGGAGGAAAAAAATGATGAAAAAGAAGTGAAGAAAAAGGATGAAGTAAAGAAGAAAGAAGAAAAAGAAATAAAGAGAAAAGACGAAAAAGAAATAAAGAAGAAAGAAGAGAAGGAAGTAAAGAAGAAGGATGAAAAGGAATTAAAAAAGAAAGAAGAAAAGGAAATCAAGAGAAAAGACGAGAAAGAAATAAAGAAGAAGGAAGAGAAAGAAATAAAGAAGAAAGAAGAGAAAGAAATAAAGAAGAAGGAAGAGAAAGAAATAAAGAAGAAGGAAGAAAAAGAAATAAAGAAAAAAGACGAAAAAGAATTTAAAAAGAAAGAGGAAGTAAAGGTACCTGAAATAAAACCAGCTAAACGAAAAGAAGATAAGGAAATCAAGAAGAAGGATGAGAAAGAAGCCAAAAAGAAAGAAGAAATAAAAGAAGTAAAAGAAAAGAAAAGAACTTTATCCACTCCTCCACCGGAAACGCCGGCCTTAAAGAATAGAAAGGTGCCCAAACTTGTGCTTCATGGTAATATACCGGTTTTAAAGAGTTTTGGTATAAGGGCGAGAAATAGGTCTGGTGGAATATCAAGGCGATCCGAAAAGAAGCTAGAAAAAGAGAAAACACCCGTAAGCGAAAAACAACAAAAAATACCCATAACCAAAGATTCACCAGGTCCTAGTTTTTCAAATCCTTACGATTTGTTAAAGCCTGTTTATGAAGAGGTTGCTAAAAACCTAGATCCGAAACCGGCTAAAGTTGTTCCTACAAAAGAAACTGTGAGGCGCACATTACAAAAGAAACTTAAGAAAAGGAAGATTTCAGATACGAGAGAAGAAGTAAGTATTTATATTTTAGTTGAGTTGTGATACTCATCGTCATTATCTTTACCTTTATTAAAAAAAAAAAACAATTTGAAAAAAGGCATTTTTTTCAAAATTTCAAATTTTTTTTACTTTAAAACCAAATTTTTTCAAAAATAAGCACTTTATACCGGTAAAACTTACAGATCATATAAAAAATAAATTGTAAAGGGTAACGAATAATTTCATTTGAGGTGCTAATTAGGGGGTAATTTTCATGATTTTTTTACAAAAATAGTACTAACTTTATTTGAGCGCAACTCACTTTGATGCTAAAAACTATTTTAAAAAACAAAAATAAAGTTTGTTTTAAACACTGTAAAAAGTGATGAGTTTTCACCGAAAAATGCTTAATTTTTTTTGTTGTTTTACATTGAAATATTCGATTTGGAATTTGACAAATAAGAACCTACATTTCATGAGTTACAACTCTGCTTTTACTGCATACACAGACCTCATTTTTGCTAAGAATGTTTTTTTTTTCGATAAAAATTCTTACATTCGAGTTATTTGTGAAAAATCATCTGAAAATGTGGTTTTTTTTGAAGTGAATACTTCTTAGCGCTCAATATAATATTTTCATGGATACGAAATTCTATTTGGCGTGACCCGAAAAATCGAGACGGGTGTACTAACCTTGTGGTATACCGTAATATGCATAATATATATCCATAATTTTATAAAATATATATTTTTATAACAAATCGAGAACGACTGGATCGATTTGATTAATTTCGACTTTTGTTTAAATTTTAATATAAAATAAAATTAAGCAAAATTAAAAAAATATCTAAAAAATTATAAAAAATTATGCAAAATTAAAAAAAATTATTCAAAAAATATAAAAAATTTACAAAATACTATAAAGAATTATAAAAGTTTAATTAAATTAAACAAAATTAAAAAATTATTTATAAAAAATTATAAAAAAATTATAAAAAATTATACAAAATTATAAAAAATTATAAAAAAATAATAAAAAATTATAAAAATTGTTATAAAACCATCAAATTATTAGAAAATATAAACAAATATAAAAAATTATAACAAATCTACAAAAAATTATAAATAATTATTAAAAATTAAATAAAATTATTCAAAATTATAAAAAAATATTAAAAATTATACTTCTTCCTTCTTTTATGTGGGCTTTTCTTTAATATTAGCCTCCTAAATTGGTTTAATTATCGCACCATCTTTTTCTTGGTCTGTCAATATTTGGTCACTATTTGGTGACTTATCTCGTGCTCTTGTTATTTCTAGTAGTTCGTGTATCGCATTCAATAGGAAGTCTCCGCCTTCTTTTATTAATTCTGCGCTAATGTTGTCTAATCCCAGGTGAGTTGTTGTTTTTTCAGTCTGGTAACTGCTTCTTGCATTTCAGTTACTGAAGGGGAGTTGTTTCTCTGGTATAATATAAGTATAATTCCATTATATAGTGGATCTTCGTTTTTTTTTTCGAATCCTGTCCATCTTTGTAGTATTTCACTTGTTGAGTTACTATAAATTGTCTCATTTGTTGTTGTCTGTACAAATTATGTAGGTTATACAATAATTTTACTAATTTAAAATTGGTTATTCTGTTTTTTACTATATTGTTTTTTGTTTTATACTTTTGTATTATTGTGACTGATTTATTTTTTAGCTTTGTCCATAAAATTGTTCAATAATTTTCAGTGACAATAATGCATATTTCTATTCTATTCTATATCTCCTTCTTTGTCTCTGTACATCAGTGTTCTTGGTTTACAATTCTTTTCTACTTTCGTTAAGTGTTTGGTTAAGAATTTTTCTGGTTTCTGATGGTTTATTTAGTTCTTCCATTTCTTGGAGTTCTTTTTATATGTGGTTCTCTTTTTTTTCTGTGATGTATTTTCTTTCTTCCCTCCTTAGCATCCTATATTCCTCCTCTGCCTTTCGTGTTCTATGTCGTTGTTGTAGTAGTTCCTCGTAGTAGTCCTGTGTAGTATATCCTCGTACTTTTGTCTGTTTTCTAGCCTTCTTTTTATATATTCTTTGTATTTTGCCTTTTTGCTGTTGTCTGCTGTTTTTTATTTCATATTTTTCAATTTTGTGTGTGTGTCTAGAGTAAATATAATCATGATCTGTCATGTTAACTGTAACCCCATCTGGAGATTTCCACGTTCCCTTGATGAATATTTTTTCGCTGGAAGCATGTGCTGGCAATGACCATGTTAAGAGAAGTTACTAGATTTATTAGTCTGATGCCATTGTCATTAGATACCTCATGAAGGCTGTGCTTACCTATAGTTGGTAGGTATTGTTGCTCTTTTCCTATTTTTGCTTGAGATCACTATAAATAATTTTGATGTCATTCTTTGGGCATGAATGGTATGCAGCTTCTAGTTCTTCATAGAATTTTCTTTAACATCGTCTTCCTTTTCCTCTGTAGAGGCATGCACATTTAAGATGCTATAATTAAAAAATGTTCCCCTTAGTCTCAGGATGCACATTCTAGAGTTCATAGCATGAAATTCTCTTACGATGTGTTTAACCTTTGTTATTTACAATGAAGCCAGTGGTGTGTTTTGTCAATGATGCCAATCCGGTCCATCTCATTTCCTGCATGTTATATCTATGTCATATCTATTCAGTTCACCAAGCAGATTTTGGAGGGCTCCTGATCTGTATAAGGATCGGATGTTCCATGTCGCGATTCTTAAATCATGTACCTTTTTCTCGCGCAGTCGTCGTCGTTTGATCAGTCCGGTTTTCTTTCCTTGAGCATTCGTAACATGTGTGTTTTCTAAGATAGGGTTGTTAGCCCTATGCCTAACCCCCATTTCTCCCTTCCTCGCCGGCCCTACTTTCCAGTGGGGTTGGTTACCTTATCTCCGGTAGGGTTGCTCAAGTTTGCCAGGGTCCACCCGTGTGATTAAGTCACACTTCTTGGAGATGAATTGAGTAGGAGTAGCTAGAGGTGTTATCAGGAAGCAACACCTTATATTGTGCATCACTACTCCTTTGAACCCCAAGAGTTGCCATTACACACTGAAAAAAACAACTGTTTGGTGTCGTTTATGAGCTGGTGGAATCGTTGGTCCATATTTCTTTAAAACAGGGGCTACCAGAATGTTACTGGAAAGGAGACCGTTATCGTGCCATGATAACGAACTATTTGGTACCTGAAATTGAAGCTCTTGGTCTCAGCGACATTTGGTTCCAACAGATGGCGCCACTTGCCATACAGCTCGTGAAAGCATGGCTTTACTGAAATTATTTCACGCTTTATATATAATATATATATTACATAAATAATAATAAACTGCCTTTATTTAGTCTGTAAAATTTTACAAACACTAGGTACATGAGGCGAAGTCTAGCTAGAGCTACTCCACTTAACCTCAAGTTTACAAAATTAGTTTAAAATAATTTGAAAATGAAAAAAGTTGGAAGTGAAAAAATAGTCATGTGGCTACTAGAAAAATAATATATAAAAAAAAATAATTAAAAAAAAAATAATTTAAAAAATAATTAAACAAAAATAATTTGTGATGTTGTGTGATATATGATATGATATAAAAGATAAAGAAAAACAAAAATATCTAATAGTAACAATAACGACAACAATATACTATATAATAATAATAATAACGTTACTGCGATTGTAGTAAAAATTTCTTATAATGCCGCTTCATGAAATCAAGAGATTTACCTCTTAAATTTATTGGTAAACTATTAAACACTAAAACAGCATTATAAGTAAACGATCGCTGGAAAATAGCTAGTCTATACCTAGGCAGCATAAGACTATGAGGATATCTCAAATCCAGATTATGAGCATCTCCACGAAATACTAATTTGTTCCTTAAATAAATAGGATTTGACGACGAAATAATTCGATATATCAATGAGGCGAGGTGATATTTGTATAAATTATCTATGGTTAACCATTGAAGTTCTTTTATTTTGCATGATACACGATCATATTTTCTTATGCCAAAAACAAATCTGCATCAATTATTTTGAATTTTTTGCAACCTTAATTTCGTAACTTGATCTAAGCAAGGATAAAATACCAAGAGCCCATAATTAAGAATTGACATTACCATAGTTTCACAAAGTAAGTATATATATATATATATATATATATATATATATATATATATATTATATATATATATATATATATATATATATATAGTCCCAAGATTCCTAAAAGGAACATAGGGCTTCCACAAAGTGTCTCCAGCGAACTCTATTTCTGGCTAGTGCTTTGATTTCAAGCCAGGATTTTCCCATTTTTCTCTCTTCGTCCAGTACTGTCCTTCTCCAAGTTCCCTTAGGTCTGCCTACTTTCCGTCGGCCTTGGGATTCCAATCCAGCACTGTCCTGGCAATGTCATTTGGCGGTCTACTGAGTGTGTGGCCCAGCCATCTCCATTTTCTTCGCCTTATTTGCTTTATGACATTTTCTTGGTTGCTTTGGTTCCATAAATTTTCATTGGAGATTCGGTTAGGCCAAAATATACGAAGGATTTTTCGTAACGCTCTATTGATGAAAACTTGTAATTGGTGTACTATGGGTGCTGATATCTTACACGTTTCGCAGCCATACAGTAATACAGCTTTTACATTTGTGTTGAAGATTTTTAATTTCGTTTTAGTTGGGTAAATCCTGGATTTCCATATGTTGTTAAGCATGTTGTAGGCGTTGCGAGCCTTATTTATTCTTTCATGTACATTACGCTCTGTACCCCCATTACAGTCAATTATGCTGCCCAGATATACAAATTCCGCTACTCTCTCAATTTCACGCTTTGGACCAGTGAATTGGCCGCCTAGATTCTGTTACATCTCAACTCTAGACTCTTTATTTTGGGGCTACCCAAAGTGCAAAGTCTACATGAATAAACCAGATAAGATTTTGGCATTGGAGGCCAATATTACTCGAGTGATTGGTGAAATAAAAATCGAAATGCTGGGACGAGTCACCGAGAATTGGAACTTCAGAATGAACCAACTTAATCGTAGTCATGGGCCAACATTTAAAAGAACTTATCTTTAAGAAGTAATTGTAAAGAATGGTTCTTTTGTATAATAATAAATATTTTCAAATAAAATTTATTTTTTCATTGTTTTTTCTTGTTGAAAAAAATACCTCTAAATGAATCACCGTTTATAATGTTATTAATGCAAAAATATTAATAATTTAGTAATAAGAAGACATAAAATTTCATTAACTTACATAATTATAATAACACGCTATAAGAAGTATTCAGTTTTGTCGGCACTCCCCAAGTGCCACAAAGTGTCACGCTCTTTTTTTTGAAAAAATCACATTTTCACATTAGTCAATTTTTCCATTCTCGGAATTAGTTTGCACGATTGTTTATTCACTCCCGAGAGGGGGTGGGTGTCACAACCCAAGTAAAAGCAACCCTGGCCTCCAAAACGGTCATTTAATGGCGAATATACAAAGATTAGTTTGATAGATTTTTCTTCGGTGATCTGGGAATGTGTAATTATAATTAATTATCTGCCATTTTAAAATATCATTTACTTTTATGCTAGCTAAATATATTAATTGATGTATATTTTCAGTCCCCTCCACCTTCCAGTTCCCGTAAAGGACGTCGCAGAAAAGTTCCCAAGTACTCACATCCAAATCCACTTGCCAACTTTGACCAGTCTACAATAGTCAGAGAACCACATACAGATCAAGCGGAATCTTTTCTCCAGATGCAAGCGATAAAGTCAGAACCGCTCTATGACGACTCTATAGAAATTGAAGACAATCTAGTAGGTTTTAGCGAAACTTCCGTGTCTGTAGAAGAAAAACTAATTGGAAGTTTCGGTAGGAGGAGTACGAGAAGATCCAAGCAACATATCATAATGGACGTGAACAAAATTGCTAGCAAAAAGGAGGAACCTACTTTAAAGATAGTGAATGTGGCAGAACTGCAAACAGCAACGGATCCTTTAGAAGACCCGTTGGGCTTGAACCAAAGCAGTTCAGACAGTACTGCTATTGTGGAAAATGCTGATAACAACCTGGGGTTTCGCATTAGCCAAGTTATAACTGAAAAAGAAGATAGCCAATCTTCCGACGTTTGTAGAGAAATGGGATTTCAAATTAGTAGCATTGTAAGTGAACACGACAAAGACAATAAAATGGATGATGAAGTGACAACGAAAATTGAAGCACCTGATGAGGAGGAAGAAGTTTTTAATGACTTTGAAGATTCAACGTCTCAGCCTGAAGATCAGAAACCGATTATTTTTCCAATTATAGATGAAGTAGACAAAAAGTCAGAGAATATTTGTCAAGCAGTTGATCAATCAGACAATGCCAATCTGTCGAGAGAAATATCAAAGGAGGGAATAACTGAATCAATGAGTACCACCCAGGAATATAATCTAGATAACACAACTGATATAACTTTCAAAATAAAAACGGAATTGCTTACCGAAACAGAAAATGAACCTGAGATAAGTCCAGAAGAAGAAGATGGCATTCTTAATGCATTTGATGATGAAACCGACGAAGTTGAGGACCACTCAACTAATCCTATGGAACTGGGTCATGAATCTGAACAGTCTATGGATCATGCTGATGAAATTGTAACTGCATCTAATGCCTCTTTGGAGAGTGAAATGACAACGCAAATACGAGTTGTAGAAAGTGTTGAGCAGGTTGTGAGCCATTCAAAATGTTCAGATCCGGTGGGAGTCCTTACGGATGAGTCAAGATCCCAACAATCTCTTAATGAAACCACTTTAGATAACTTAAGAAATTCGGAAGTGACAGAATCCACAGCAGAAATATCGACTTACGCAACCATTGGTACCAACAATGAATCAGTCGTCAATAATGAAGAAAGTGCTTCCTTTTTACCACTTGGTACTGTTAGTCTCAGTGCTAATCAGTTAACTCTTCAGGATAGTTTAACAAGCCCCAAACCGTCTGAGTTTTCTCTAACGAATGATGATGAAAAACATTCGTATGTAGCAAATACCGAAGTAGACCCCCTCAATGAAGATCATCTTATGGATGATGATTTTAACGACGATTCAAATCAGATAAATGAAACTAATGATTTTGCGAAGAGTCCACAGACAATAAATGAAAATTTGGAAAAGGATTCAGACATCATCGAACCTAATATAGCCCCATTATCTGGTTGTTCGAGTACTCAACATTCAATAGATAATTCAGTTGAAATATCTCTCGACCTAGGATCAGATAAACTAGAAGACATGCCTCAACCGACTGACGGGAATTTAGAAACGCTTGAAGAATTACAAGCTCCTGAAGTTTCTCCTTCCTGTGCAAACTTACCGATGGAAGAAGATTTTATAAATGAAAACGAAGAAGTTGCAAACGAAATTAAATCGATTGACGATATATCGGTTGCACAAGAAAATACTCACGTTGAAGAAAATCGTGTAAATTCCCCGAAAGATAATTCACTAATCAATTCAGATTTGGACAAAGAAATAAGTATTCCTGATTCTTCAAATGATCTACAATTTAATGAAAATCTGAACGAGGAATCTAGAACGGATACACCTCAAGAGAATCCACAAATTGATCAGCAATTGGATCTAAATAAGGAAGAGACTTCACAAGTAGAAGAATATCAAGACAAAGAAATCACTCCAGTTGATTCCGGTAATACTTCACCAATTAATGTGAATGACACTCAAAATAAAGAAAACATTGGAAATGAAGCATCAGGATTTGACATAAGTGAAAGTAATAACGAAAATCAACAAATCGATTACCAAGAAAATTCTATAAATTTGCTGCAAATTGAATCTGATCGACAAAGTTTACATTCACAACCACAAAAAGAAGAAGAGTGTTTAGACTTAAATCAACAAATTTTATCAACAGAAAATGATCAAATGGAAGAAGAGTATGACAAAGATTACTTACGTAGCCCACAAGGTGCATCTAACCAAGAAAATTTAAATGTGTCTCAAGAAAATCAGATGATGGAAGAAGAGTATGATCAGGAAATGTTACAAGGTGACTTTGGTAATGATAGTGCACCCCAAGAAAATCAACTACTAATGGACGAAGATAAACCTCCAGATGTTAATCAAGTTCCACTAGTGGATGATAGTAGTTCTATGGCAATGGACTATGAAGAAGAGAATAATGCCATTGAAGAGCCTGTAACGACTTTAGAGGAAAATAAAATGAACTTCAATCAAGGTGATAGTTCCAATATTCCTCAATATGGTACGACTGAGTCAATGCAAGAAGATGAAAATAAAATAAACTTAAATCCAAGTCACAGTACTAATATTCCCCAAAATAACGTGAGTGAGTCGATGCAAGAAGATGAACATAAAATAAACTTCAATCAAAGCCATAGTTCTAATATTCCCCAGTATGATGTGACTGAGTCGATGCAAGAAGACGAAAATCAAATAAACTTCAGTGAAAGCCATAGTTCTAACATTTCTCAATATCATATGCCTGAGTCAATGCAAGAAGATCCTACAAATATTGATGGGAGCGTTACTAATGAAAATTCTTTAAATTCCGAAATGCTTGATGAGAATATAGAATTAAATACACCCATTATTGAAAAATGCGACATTTCAAATATGCCAGAGTCTCTTCCACATGACTATATTGAAAATAAGGCACTAGATGAAAGTAGTTCAAATGTACCTCTCCTAAATGAACCTCTATTTTCTACCAGTACTGGAGATGATGAAATGGATACTAATATAATTCCTTATGAAGAACATCAAGAAAAAATAATGTCCATTAATGATGGAATTGAGTCTTCTGTCTATGGCAGTGATCCAATTATATTAACACAGCCTGATATGCCTTCATTTGAGGTTAGTCAGTCAGGTGATAATTCAAATAATTTAGATATAACCATCATCCAGTGTAACCGCGTTTGATACTTTAGATAAAGAAACTGATAATACATCACCCGTAGTAGAATCATATTTACAAAATCAACAAAGTTTTAACCAAATACAGACTGATGAAGCGATTGGTTCCGGTGTAACTGCGCTTGATACTTTAGTTCAAGAAACTGATAATACATCACCTGCAGTCGAACCATATTTACAAAATCAACAAAGTTTTAACCAAATACAGACTGATGAAGCGAGTGGTTCCAGTGTAACTGCGCTTGATACTTTAGTTCAAGAAACTGATAATACATCACCCGTAGTTGAACCATATTTACAAAATCAACAAACATTTAACCAAATACAGACTGAAAGTTTCCCGACTGATGAAGCGATTGGTTCAAACGAACCAGACTTTCCCACTGCTCACGAAGTAAATGAACAGAGTAGTTCAATTGAACCAGACTTTCAAATTGCCTCTGAAGTAAATGAACAAATTAGTTCAAACCATCCAGAATTTCAAATTGCTCCGGAAATAAATGAACAAAGTAGTTCAAATGAACCGGACTTTCAGATTGCTCATGTAGTAAATGAACAAAGTAGTTCAAATGATCCAGCGTTCACAAATGAAGTGAGTACTTTAAATGAACCAGACCTTCACACTGCTCAGGAAGTAAATGAAGAAAGTAGTTCAAATGATCCAGCGCTCAGAAATGAAGTGATTACTTTAAATGAACCAGACTTTCACACTGCTCATGAACTAACCGAGCAAAATAGTTCAGATGAACAGGACTTTCAGATTACTCGACTAGTAAATGAACAAAGTAGTTCAAATGATCCAGACTTTAGCGGTGCTCAAGGAGCGAATGAACCCGGTTTTCATATAGCACAGGTGGTGAATGAACAAATAGCCGAAATAGAGGGTATTAGAGATAAACGGCAGTTTGTCGGTGATAATAGCGATATGAATGAACGGTGCGAGAAAGTTAACACTAGTAACGATTTTGAGTCTATTGTGAATGATTTGTCGCAGATTGTAGGCGATTCGTGTGGAGTGACAGATTTACCACTTACAGATGATACCAATTCCATTGCAGATAGTCTTGAGAATCTCTTACAGAAATAAATACATAATTAAATTCAAAAGCAAGATCTTGGATTGAAGATTTGTTCATATATTTGTTGTGGGGCATACCTCATATGCTGCTATTGACTTAAGCAACATATCTTGTTTATTTGGAACTGAAAAAAGCGAACATTATTTTTGTGATAAACGTATTTTTCAGTGCAGTAGATGTCTATTTTAACAAACAGTTATGTTTACTTTGAAATGAGGATTCGAGCAAGTTTATAATAGAACATTTTTCATTTGTTTCAACTAAATAAGATAGTTTTACTTTTATAATTTGCAAAACTTTTGGTGTAGTAAGTGTATAAAGTATTTTTACGTTAATGTTTCACATTCTTATAAACATATTATGTTTTAACCCTAGGATGCATGACTGGATCTTTCTTTACATTTACATAACATATCGTCAGTGTAATTCGCATAGTGAACTCCATTTTATAAAATTTTAAGAGCGAAAAAACTAAGTTAAATGATTAACACGTTCAGTGCCACATTTATCCAACATGGATACAAACGTAGTGGACGCGTGGCACATGTATATTTGTATTTTGAGCCGTGTACATCCGCATCAGATACTTCTTCTTCTTCTTCATGTACCATGCCCTTTCAAAACGTTGGTTACCATCATAGCTATGTTAATTTTATTCACTGCCACCCTAAATAGGATGCTTGTATCAACACCATACCAATCTCGCAAGTTCTTCAACCATGAGGTTCTTCTTCGTCCTGGGCTATTTTTCCTTGCATGATACTTTGTAGCAACCTATATTTGGGACCTCTCCTTACATGTCCGAAATATTCCAGCTTTCTCTGCTTGATATTTTTTATGATCTCAGTAGTCTTGCTGAGACGTTCTAGTATTGTGGAGTTTCGAATCTTCTCCACCCAGGAAACTTTTGGAATTCTTCTATAGCACCACATTTCGAAAGCCTCAAGGCGATTTAGATCGCCTTCTTAGGTAGAGCTATAAATAGTGAATTAGACCAACCATTAGATAGTTGTCCGCTGGTATAAATAGTATTGAAAAACGAAGTTATAGCTTCTAAAACATTGCTATCATTTATAAGCTTATATATTTCAGTTGGAATTTCATCAGGACCAGTCGCTCTGCCATCTTTTGATGATTGTATGGCTTTTATAACCTCAGAGCGTGTTATTAGGGGTCCGTCGCAGTTTCTACTTCTCCGGAATAGAATATATCGTGGTCGTCTATGCTACATTTACCAGTCCCCGGCCACCGCATTTCGCTTATCCCGAGAATGGTATTTTGAGCCTTATCATCTCACGTATGGTGTTTTGTATCTTACTGGGTTCGTAAAGACTTCTCACGTTCCATGTGTCTATTCTGATACATGATTTTATTCTTATTTCTTTTCCAATACTACAGGGATTTCGCTGAATAACGGCCTCAGAAGCCCCGTGTGCTTGCCTTCTCCTGCCGGATCTTGGTGTCCGAGGACCATGATCAGTATACTTTTTCTTATCATATGATAGTGCCATTATCATTGAACTATGCAATAATAATGGGGTAGTTTCCCGTTGCCTTCCCCATCGCAGTATCACAACCATTTAAACTTCTCCAGTTATGCTTGTGATAGTCCGGTGTCAAGCCAATCCAGGATTATTTGCCCTTCATCACATATAGTGATTCTATATAATCCCTAAAATCAAGGGGTTGCCACTTGCTGCCGTTGTGCACTTCATCCGTGACCATGGATAAGGGACCTTTAGCAGGTACTAGCTTCCCGGGTCAGGAAACACCTGGAATCTGCGAAGGGATTGATTCATTTTTCCTGATAGAACTATCCAGAGGAGTTCCTACCCGCTACTCTTATACTTTTCATCAGTTGTTGCAATTGCTCATATTTTTTTCTTTCTTAATGAGGATTCTACCTCTGTATAATGCAGGCTTTACGATAAAGTTCAAGAACAACTATTGACTTGCAATTTTCTAAATGCTACGGAGACGCTAAATGCTGCGGAGATGGGTATTTTTCAGGCTAAAGATATGGTATCGTACCAGATGGCGTAAAAAGTCTTATTTGAACAAAAAAAAATGGAGTTACGCGGTAAGCGAATTACACTAACGGCATTGGCTTTTATTGAGCAATTTTTTTGAATAATACATTAAAATAAATAAAAGTAAAGAAACCTTAATTCAACAGCATGTTTTGCGTACGTAAATTAATGTTATTTACAAATAAATGCATTACACTTGGCACAACTTTTGGATGGACACATGGAGTATCGTTTTTTTTTTTTCACAATTTTGTTGACAGTCTGTCACCGAATAGATAACAGGCAGTATGGGAGGGGCGGAGATGCAATAAATTGCTAATGAACACAAAATATTGTTTACGCACGCAAGTAACTCGATGGAATCCAAGGATCTTATGTAAAAGACGCAAAAATTACCAATTTTACAATATTTATTATGTACATGACATTAAGTCATAACTAATAATATTCAAAATCATATGAAAAAAACGTTGAAAATACCCAAGATATGCATCCTAGGGTTAAGACATAATTCTCTCAACGATCATATTCACTGCTTATTATAAGGACTTTTTTTTAAATGATTTATATCCGTTCTATACATTTGGAAATTTTCCTTTATCAGTAAATGCCCATTTAAACATATTGGTCCACTCGAAAAAGTAAGGTGATGAAACTCAATTTCATCTTCACTATTGACAACATAATCTAACACATCTTAGAAGTTTTGTTGATTTATCAAAGGATGTAGACTTTTTGACGTTTGGTAATGATACATTGTTTTCTCAGTTTATATGCCGTGGTCTGACATTATTCAAGGCTATTACAGTAGAATCTCTCTAATCCGACCTCAATGGGACCAAAAGATGTAAAAAATATACAAAATATCTCTAGATTTGCAATCTTCATGAACTTCGACGTATCTTAAAGCGATTTCGAAGGCTTCATTTGCAGTGACATGAGTTATTTTGGGATTTTCTGCAGGTTCCTCCCCATTTTCTACATGTGGAAGCGGCAGATATATTTAGTTCTTCATAATTTAATTCATCACAATCAGGATCATTTTTCTTACCATGCTGAAGCTGATGTATAAATTACATCTTCGATTGTAACTTTTTTTGTCTGTATAGGGCCGCTATTTTTCTGTTCCAAAATGGATCCAACGAATTTCCTTCGATATATTTATTAAAGCATTCAATTACTCCTTGATCCATATATTAAATTAGTGGAGTCACGTTCAGCAGTAAGAACAGCGAGTTTATTTTTCTAGAATTAGAATACTTTCACCTAGATATAAACTCAAAACTGCTTTTTGATTTTAAAAATTGACACTCAGTCGGAACGAATTCATTTGGAACCACTCTTTAAAAAGATAATAGTCCATCCAGGCCAATTTCTGGTTTCTGTAGTGAACGGGAAGGGCAGTCATATTAAGATTTTTAAATTTTTTTCTGTTTTTTTTTATTTCCCGATTACAAACACGGCAAGTTTTATGATTCTCACTTGCATTGCTACACAAAGCAATCTAAAGATGTTCTTTCGACACTTTATATCCCGAAATGTGTTCTTTTCTTGATTCCAATGTTTTATTAGGTAGCATTTTACAATTCAGGTCAATTATTTTCCAAGATAAGTTGCTTAAATTTATCGATGAACGCGTTTGGCTCACCAACGTGCGAAAATAGAAAACTGTCGAATCCATTGCTATTTTTCCACCGTTGTATCCACTTTTCTGAGATGGTAATCCCTATCAACCAAAGAACTCTGCTCACTTATTTTGCATACAAAGCGATTGCTTTCTCCTGAATAAGCGGCTCTGAAAATGGTGACCTTTTACCCTTCTTGGTTAAACCAAACCCATACCGCCTCATCTAATATTTGCAATTTTGGTTTTTTCAATGTCTTCCTTGCTGTTTGGTCATCTGTCATGGAAAATGACTCGAATTCCCTCTTTTAATGTTTTTAGGCTTTCGCCCTAAAGAAAAAAAAACATTCCTAATTATTGGTGAAACGTCATGGAATACAAATTCAATTTTTTCCATTTTTCGCCATAAAAAGTTAGAAGCACTACTGCAAGAATTTCTAATGAAACGATAGCAGCGTGGGATAGTACTTTGTTATTGTACTATCTGTTACTTCGAATTATATGTGATGGTTGTCTTTCAAAGGCAAGAATTGATCTTTCGAATGGACCAAAGATACAATTCCTCTTGTGACAATATCATCAAATTTTTTTCTGCCATTAGCCGGTCGAAACTTGATATCACCAAGATAGTTCCTTATCATTGTCTTCCTGAATAATGAGTTGTAGTAGTTGGTATTTTCATCTGACGATATGACAAAATAAGTAAATTTTCTTTTAATTGAGTTTAGCAGTATTCTCTCGTTATTCGTCATTCTAAACACCTTCTTCTTGATAGTGTGTATCTTCACCAGTATATTACGAATTCGATCGTAGCACCACAGCTTAAATGCTTCCAACCTGTCTATAGTTATTACTAAGTCCAGGTTCCACATACGTATAGTAAGACTGACAAAATATAACATTAAATAGTTCTTTCGCGAAGGTGCATAGATATATTTCTGTTGCATAATATCGTTTTCCAAGACATGAAGACCATCTGAGATAGCGCTATTCTGAAATGAATTTCCTTGTCAGGGTCACTATTAGTATTTAGCCGAATCCGATGGTATTTAACATAATATTGATATTAAGACCTTTGCAACGGTCTGGAGGTATTCCAAGATTCCAGTTATTGCTACGCTAAGGGAATTCTTGAATGTTTCGTATACCTTAAACATTGTTAGTGACAACACATATATCTGCATCATTCCTCTTTTATTTGAATCCTTACAGATACCTTTCATTTTTATGGTCGAGGATTGATGGTAGTGTCAGATCATAGCAGCTGTCAAGTCCAAATAATTCTATATATTCAAGAAGAACGTTATACTGAACGAAATCAAATGCATTTTCAGCAAATAAAGCAGAATTGTACGTTGTTTCTTAATTTGATAGCAAAAAAGGAAATAGTGTTAGTAATATGTGAACTTATTGCATTAAAACGTGTTCATTTTTAAACTTAAAGTCTCTGTATTTGTCCAACGATGTCATTGCAGTTTGTTCCACTGTTTAGCTGGTACTACCACCTTATTAACTCGAGTTGACTGGTATTAGTAAATGCGTGTTAATACTGAGGACTTTTTATATAAAGCAGTATTGTTATTGATATCTCCAGTAAAATAATAACTTGATAAACGACCTTGTCAACAAACAAGTTTTCGCCGGATCTTAAACTGGTAGTATT